GGTTGCAAACTGTTAACAAAGATAATTGTTTATCAGATGATATGGTATCACACAACTCTTGATCATCTCATAATTAAGGAAATTATTCCAAGGTTCTCACATGAGATTTTCTCCTTAGTTAAAAACTCAAAAAAAGCTTGAAGGCTAATAATTGAAAAAAGCCAGAAGAAATTTTCTGTGTAGTCCTCCACAACAGCCATAATCTATAACAGATATACTGCAGAAATGTAAATTTAAACATTAAAATTTGAATGTTTGAGTCAAAGGACTAAACATGGATGTGATCTTATTGGACTTTGCATTTTTATTTCAATTTGTTACTTTTGCTTCTGTTTAGTATTGATTGCCTGGAAAACACTGTATCTCACCATAGTTGAGGGAATGAGTGGTCCAGTGTAATTCTTACAATTCTTTAATCAATTGCAACAGCAGCATAATCTATAGCAATTAAGTGGTGATAATAGTGCTGCAAATGAAACACCCTGCTGACTTTTGTATATGAAGCTGCTATTAACAGGATACAAACAGCCAGACCATTAGGCAACTTTAGACAAAGGTTGTGACATAGTTTGCAAAACCCTTTAGAAATTGAAATGGACAATTCATCACCCCAAAAATGGAGGAGACCTCCAGGTTTGTGCAGCTGTGAGTGCAGAGTTGGAGCTTCCCCTCCATTTGTCTCAATATTTAGTGCTAGATTGAGTCTGTTTTTAGAAACAGCAGCAGATTTGTGTGCTGAACTGATTTTCTGAAGGGATGCAGAAAGCAAACCATTCGCCATCTGTTCCATTGTCCTGGAGTAGCAGCTGGAAGAAGAAGAAACTGAGGAAGTGAGAGCACATAAAGAGAAAAGGAGGGGAAAGAGAGGAAGATAGTAAAACATGTGAAGAGCAAAAGGGATAGTTCTGGAAAAGATTCAGAAGCTAATAGAAGACCAAAGAATAAGAAATGATGGATTAAATCCAGGTTTGATCATATGTAGATTCACTGAAATTCTTCAGACTTAAATTAATTCTGAATAACTAAAATTCTATTGGGTATACTGTACAGCTATGTTTCATCCAGTATGAAATTCAGATAGAAGAAGATAAGAGACAAACTAAAATGACTGAATATAATTGAGTGAGTCAACAGAGATATAAACACAATGTGTGTCCTCTGTCAGAATTCATGTTCATTCTGGTACAGGTGCCCAGAATGATTCCAAACAACATAACACATAAAAGTTCAAAGGAAGAGAAAATAATAAATTAGAAAGATTGTACCATTAGAACAACAACAACAACAACAACAACAACAATAATAATAATAATAATAATAATAATAATAATAAATAAAGTTGGAAGGGACTTTGGAGGTCATCTAGTCCAACCCCCTGCTCAGGAAGGAAACCCTATACAATTTCAGACAAATGGCTGTTCAGTCTCTTCTTAAAAACTTCCAGTGTTGGAGCATTCACCACTTCTGGAGGCAAGTTGTTCCACTGGTTAATTGTTCTAACTGTCAGGAAGTTTCTCCTTAGTTCTAGGTTGCTTCTCTCCTTGATTAGTTTCCATCCGTTGCTTCTTGTCCTGCCTTCAGGCGCCTTGGAAAATAGCTTGACTCCCTCTTCTTTGTGGCAGCCCCTGAGATATTGGAATACTGCTCTCATGTCCCCCCTCATCCTTCTCTTCATTAAACTAGACATACCCAATTCCAGCAGCCTTTCCTTATATGCTTTGGCCTCCAGTCCCCTAATCATCTGCTCTTCTCTGTACTCTTTCTAGAGTCTCAGCATCTTTTTTACATCGTGGTGATCAAAACTGGATGCAGTATTCCAAGTGTGGCCTTACCAAGGTATTGTAAAGTGGCTTTAATACTTCACGTGATCTTGATTCTATCCCTCTGTTAATGCAGCCCAGCACTATGTTGGCCTTTTTGGCAGCTGTAGCACACTGCTGGCTCATATTTAAGTGATTGTCCACTAGGACTCCGAGGTCCTAGTGTAAATGTAGAACCTTACTTTTTTCACCATTGAATTTTATTTTGTTAGAAAGCGCCCAGTGTTCAAGTCTGTCCATGTCTTTCTGTATCTTAAGCCTGTCTTCTGGAGTGTTGGCTATTCCTGCCAGCTTGGTATCATCCACAAATTTGATGATTTCCCCATCTATTCCCTTGTCCAAATTGTTGGTGAAGATGTTGAAGAGCACTGGACCTAGAACAGAGCCCTATGGCACCCCACTACACACTTCCCTACATGTAGATGTGGTTCCATTGAGGACCACACGCTGAGTACGGCCAGTCAGCCAGCTACAGATCTATCTGGTGGTGATGGTGTCTAACCCACATTTTTTCTATCTTATCATGTAATTAATGTTAATTAACATTAACATCATAGCTACACTGACTTATCCAATACATCTGAAAATTGTGAACTTGGAAAATGCTGCTGAGGTTTTTTGCTTCTCAAGAGAAAGTCTGTTGATGAAGTGGAAATTGTATTTAGGAAGCAGAGAACCTTTAATATGACTGAGATCAATGCTTCCAATTTATCTTTTAATCCACACTCTTCCATTTGTATAACTAGCTAGATGGAATTCAGTTTAAGCATATAGAACCATAGCAAAGGAAAGCAAAGCCCTTAACTTTGGTCATCAACATACTAGAATATTTTTATTTCAGACAATACCTGTTTTCAGAACTGGTTTAAACGGTGGCAAAAAGACATATGCTGATGTATATGTCAAGGGAAAAATAAGGGTTATGTATAAAATTCTTCAAGATGCAAAGGACAGAGGAAAACTAATATTGCCTGAGGGGTCCTTTGTGCTCTCTGAGCTTACTTGTTTTCTTGTATGCATTTCATTATCAAAACTAGGTAACAACATTTCCTGATTTAAAATGATATTTTGCTGCCTGCTGTTTGGTTTGGATGAAGAAATGGCTAAGATTTTTAGATTTAGAAGATCATAGTTGAGGTTTGGGTGGTATGATTACTTATGGTATGATAAAGTAAATGTACTAATAACGGATAATATTTGTAGCTCAGCATTGACATGAAGGATCCTTGGTGCTCTCTGAGCTTGCTTGTTTTCTTGCAGATATTTCATTACCCAAACTAGGTAACAACATCATCAGCACCAAGGACAGAGAGCACCAAGGACTCCTCACTTCACATGTATGCAAAATATGTTAATCTGAGACTGGTTGTTTGTGCCTTGGATGAGATTCTGTCCTGTCAATAATTCTTTTAATAAATAGTCCCTTTGAATTTTTGATGAAATTAGAAATGGAAGAAGAACAAATTAAATAATGTAGAGTAAAATGGGCCAAGAATTTTGGTTACAATATTCAAATGGCTCAATAGGACAAAATGCAGTTAAAAGATCTGAAGTTCATGTTGTCTTACAATTTAAAAGCAAGTATTTTTTTTTTAAAAAATGTGTACCTTGGGTATATGACCAGAGAAATTGCCTAAGTTATAAAGGTACTTCTAATAATTATTGGAAATGTGAGAAACACAAAGGGACATTTTGTCATACATGGTGGACTTGTGAACAGATACGGGACACAAATACATATAATGATAAAGACAGTTTTAAAAATTAACATTCAGATAAAACTAGAACTTTTCTTATTAGGACTTAAGGACACTCAATTAGAAAAGGCTCATGGACAGTTGGTAAGTTGGTACTTATATATGGTAAGTTGCAGTGAAACTATTATATGCACAAAGATGGAAGACTAGAAGACACCAATAATGGAGGAGTGGATTGTGAAGATGGCTGAGTTTGCAGAAATGGCTAAACTCACTTGTTTGATTAAGGAAGGAACTGCAACTACTTTTATAGAAAACAATAAACCCTTTATAGACTTTTGCTGAAAATGGATTAAAACAAACTGTTGATTTCAGCATTTATTAATTAAAAAGTTTTGTTTAAAGGAAGAAGTAAGCTATGATATGGAAGGGTGGAGATAGTAATTGTTATATTTTTATAAAAAGTTCAAAAGTCAAATTTTTAGATTTTTTTTCACTGTTATTCATTTTTTCTTTTCCTTTTTATAATCTTTTTCTATTTCTTCTACATTTCTATACTTTCTAAAATCTGTGTCAATAAGATTTTAATAAGAATTATTCATTAAATATTTGGCCATCAACAATGAAAACTTGGGCAGCAGAATAAGGAACTGATCTGGTCACAGTTTTCCCAACAACTGGGAAATCAATTACTTTTTTGTTAAATTCTTTATTAAATGTAAATAAGTAGATGTAAATTAGTATACACTAAAGTGGTAGAGTACCATAAACAAGCCACTGCTTGTAGGCTTTGTTGCTATAGCATGCATGTCTGGGTTAATGGGAGGAAGGTTATAATAATTCAAAGGTTTAATTTAGCCTCAAACTACCCCAGCCATACACATGGTTAAATGACCTCCATGTAATTAGTTGTACTATAATAACAGTTAAACCAGCTCCATGCAATTAGTTGTGCTATAGTAACAGATAAGTCAACCTAGTTTACTTATCTAGCTGGGGAAACAGGGCAGCTGAAAAAGCAAGACTTTCTATTACAAAAGTCTCCCTCAAGGCCTAGCAATTTAGAACATAGGTCTTAAACATAGTTTGGTTACAGTAGCCAAACAATCTTTACTGATGCCTGATTGGCCAATAAAGAAGGAGCAGATGCTATAATGAAGCAATAGTAGTATACTCCTTGTACAAGGCTTCATAGAATATTAGGTGATTTAGAGAAGATGGGTGGTTATTTTGATCTAGTTAGTATGATTGTGCTTGCCAGAGCCGTCAATTAAAAGATACAGGGCTAGAGAGCATGAAGATAAGCAAAAAGAACTGGCCCCAGAGAATTTACTGCAGGAGCTTTCTAGACTGAGTTAACATACAAGAAAAGAATTATTATTGCAGCATTTGTGTGCACTCAGTGAAGTCTTTAAGAGGATCCTCTGCCCTTTCAACATCTGCAAACATTATAAAAAGAGACTTGATAGTCAGTACAACCATGCATTCTTACTCCTCTTTATTATACAGTATATGTGATACATGCAACACATTAAAATGTACATGGGTTCAGTTACATTATCTCACCCACCAGCTTGACCCCTCTATTGATGCCTCCTGGTCTGTGCAGCACTATACTGTTTTTTTTTTCTTCCTCCCATCTTGTTTACTGCTGACTCCAAGTTTAAAAACTCTTGATCCTTTCTGAAGCTTCAGATTCCTGTGCAATGTAGAATCTACAGAAAATATAGAAAAATCATCTTCTGAATCTGAACATTAAGATAACGGAAGAACCAAGCCTGTAGAATGCACAGAAGGGATTTCCCTTGAAGTGGGACTGTCCAACTCGAACAGCACCACTCTGAGTGGCTTACAAGTAACAAAATAAAAACAGCAATAAACCCCAGTGGGAAATTACTCATCCTGCCTGCCACAGTTGAAAGAATAGCCACATTTTTAAGGGCATTCTAAGAGTCAACAGGGACAGAGTCAACACTGGGGAGAGTTCATTCCATTCCACTCATCAACATCTGAATCCATAGCAGAGACTTGTTGGTCTCCTGATTCTGGGGATGTGTTATCTAACAATCTCATACAAATCTGTGTTATTTTTTATCCTGCATTTGAAAGAAAAATGTTGCTTTCATTTTGATGAAAGGCAGTTGTATGTCTGTATATTAAATTTCAAGAAGTGCCAAAGAAAGCACTTCGGAAGCCACTGTAGCCTCATATGTGTGAAAAGTCTAATTTCTTTCATTTCCCACTGTGGACTTTTTTCAGAGGAGGAATGAGTGTTAGCTAGATTTCACTTCTTTATGCTCTTGTCTGCTGAGAACAAAATACAGATATTCACTTCCAGCAGGGTATGTTGTTCAAGCCCAAATGAAAGGCTTAAGTGAAAAGTTTAACTAAATCAGACCTTTACAAGCATTTTGTTAATTAATCCCACTTTTGAAAATCTTTCTCAAATGAAGAAGTACACACACATATATGCTCTCCTTAATTTTTATGGTTATTCTGAAATGTCACCTCTTGAGCCGTGTTTCTCCACAACTTTAAGATGTTTGGACTGCGACTCCCAGAATTCCCCAGCCAGACCACTAGAGCACCCCATTTCTTAACAATCTACATTTTGGGAAGAGAATACAGTGCAGAAAATCAGTAGTCACTAGAGTGAAATTAATGTCTCAATCCCAGGTGATAGCCTGCCAAAGCATGAACTGCTTACAGAAAATTATTATTATTATTATTATTATTATTATTATTATTATTATTATTATTAGTAGTAGTAGTAGTAATAATAAAGCTGGAAGGGACCTTGGAGGTCATCGAGTCCAACCCCCTCTCAAGCAGGAACCTTACACCATTTCAGACAAATGGCTGTCCAGTCTCTTCTTAAAAACTTCCAGTGTTGGAGCATTCACCACTTCTGGAGGCAGGTTGTTCCATTGGTTAATTGTTCTAACTGTCAGGAAGTTTCTCCTTAGCTCTAGATTGCTTCTCTCCTTGATTAGTTTCCATCCGTTGCTTCTCATCCTGCCTTCAGGTGCCTTGGAGAATAGCTTGACTCCCTCTTCTTTGTGGCAGCCCCTGAGATATTGGAACACTGCTATCATGTCCCCCTTTGTCCTTCTCTTCATTAAACTAGACATAACCAATTCCAGAACCATTCCTTATATGTTTTAGCCTCCAGTCCCCTAATCATCTTTGTTGCTCTTCTCTATACTCTTTCTAAAGGCTCAACAAAGATCACATCCATGTTTAGTCCTTTGACTCAAACATTCTTAAAAACTTCCAGTGTTGGAGCATTCACCACTTCTGGAGGCAAGTTGACTCCCTCTTATTTGTGGCAGCCCCTGAGATATTGGAATACTGCTATCATGTCCCCCCTCATCCTTCTCTTCATTAAACTAGACATACCCAATTCCAGCAGCCTTTCCTTATATGCTTTGGCCTCCAGTCCCCTAATCATCTTTGTTGCTCTTCTCTGTACTCTTTCTAGAGTCTCAACATCTTTTTTACATCGTGGTGACCAAAACTGGATGCAGTATTCCAAGTGTGGCCTTACCAAGGCATTGTAAAGTGGTATTAATACTTCATGTGATCTTGATTCTATCCCTCTGTTAATGCAGCCTAGTACTGTGTTGGCTTTTTTGACAGCTGCAGCACACTGCTGGCTCATATTTAAGTGATTGTCTACTAGAACTCCGAGATCCCTCTCACAGTTACTACTGTTGAGCAAGGTACCCCCTATACTATATCTGTACATTTGGTTTTTCTTGCCTAAATGTAGAACCTTACTTTTTTCATCATTGAATTTCATTTTGTTAGATAGCGCCCAGTGTTCAAGTCTGTCCAGGTCCTCCTGTATCTTAAGCCTGTCTTCTGGAGTGTTGGCTATTCCTGCCAGCTTGGTGTCATCTGCAAATTTGATGAGTTCCCCATCTATCCCCTTGTCCAAATCATTGATGAAGATGTTGAAGAGCACTGGGCCTAGAACAGAACCCTGGGGCACCCCACTACAAACTTCCCTCCACATAGATGCAGTTCCACTGAGGACTACATGCTGAGTACGGCTGGTCAGCCAGCTACGAATCCATCTGGTGGTGAAGCTGTCTAACCCACATTTTTCTGTCTTATTGAGCAGTAGGTTGTGATCTACTTTATCAAATGCCTTACTGAAGTCCAAGTAAATTATATCCACAGCATTCCTCTGATCCACTAATTTTGTCACTTGGTCAAAGAATGCAATAAGGTTTATCTGGCATGATCTGTTTTTGACAAACCCATGTTGGCTTTTAGTAATGACTTTGTTTGCCTCTAGGTGTTCACTGATTCGTTGTTTGATTATCTTTTCCAGAATCTTCCCAGGTATTGAGGTCAGGCTGATAGGTCTGTAATTTTCTGGATCCATTTTTTTCCCTTTTTTGAAGATGGGAACTTTTCCAGTCCTCTGGTAGTTCCCCAGTGCTCCAGGATCTTTGAAAAATATAGTTCAGTGGTTCTGAGATCACATCTGCCAGTTCCTTGAGAACCTTGGGGTGTACAGATATTGATTACTAAACCACGAAAGCCAGATAGAAAACATTGTGTCCTATCTTCCTTCCACTTCTCTCTTGAGGATCAGCTAGCATTGAACATTTGGATGCCAGAAATGGAGTGCCAGGCTTTGTAGATGAATAAACAATAGGAATTTTGCGCAAGAGGCAGGTTGGCTGGCTGGCTTTAATTTAATCATAAGGTAAAGACAGCCAAGTTCCTCTAACCCTTAATTCAGTTTTTTAGCATTGGAGAAATATCATTCTAGGATGGCCTTGTGCCCTACTCACCCCTTGGATGGAAAAGGCTGCCAATGCAGCTGAGCCTATTTAGTAGGCAACTATCCATCAGAGGTGACTCAAAGAGACCAGTGCTTGGAAAAAATCTTCTAGATTAGAGGGTCATGATATGAAGCTCCAAGCAACCGCAAATTTGCTTCTGGATCAAAGTTTAAAATTGCCCACAGCGATGTTTCCCACAATTCATAAGGTATTCCCACAAAACAATTATTCTACGTATGTGTAAAGGCATAGCAATCTAAACCTTCTCATTTAGATAGAGCAGCTCTCAAGCAACAGTTGCCACACAGATTAAATTTTTGGTTCAAGAGTCTAGAGCCAAAATGTTAACCTTATTTTTGCATTCTCAAATGCTATATAATGGAACGGATTCTCCCAGGAAATTAGACTTCCCCTGACCTTGTTAGCATTTCAGGATCATGTTAAAATGCAGTTCTTCTGGAGGGCATTTAACTAATTCAGCAGTGCCTCTGGTATTATATATTATTGTAATATGTCTGGCTTCATTTTAGTATATTTTGTTTTGATTTTGTAGGTATCTTATTATTGTTTTATATTGTTTTATACCACTGGGAATCATATGATTGCAGTGATATAAGAATCAAATCAAATCAATCAATAAATAAAGTGCAAATTGTAGAGCACCTATAATATCTGAGTAAATTGAATCTATTATCTCATATGTTTTGTTAAAGATACATGTCTATGAATATGAGTGCATGAAAGATTTATTGTTTTTGTTTCTATTATAATCTATTGGTTTATATGCATACTCAAAGAGAATAATAAAAGTGGGAAAGGAAAGCAAGAAGATTTACAAGTAACCTAAAATATGTCATAATAATACAAAAGTTTAAATCTGCAAATTAAAATGTCTTACATCAATATGAAAGAAGTTAAGTGAGATCAGTTAAGTCAATGGTAAAATTAGGTTAATTTTACCAATAATCAGATGTGGCCAATACAATCAATTATTAGTTATAAACCAAAAATAAAATAGATGCAATAATTTCCACCTAATCTGGAAAATTTGATGAATTCAACAAATCATAAAAATGAACAACATGAGTATTCTAAACTTATCCTGGAGAAAACTCAAGCTTTGGCAGTGGCATAAACCATCTTTAAGATTATAATCCCAAACCTGTTGATCCTGGGTCTTTTACTGAGCCACATATATTTTGTTGTTTATCTCTGCCAGTAATTTAATATCTTATCTTCAATTATTACTAGGAATGTTTGAAAAAAACAACATCAAAATGTGGCCTTGCCAAACATTCATTTTTACTGCTAACTTTATCTTGAAATGCTCGCCACACTATTCTGATCAGGCCAGTTAACCTGTTGATGACATTCACATGTCCTTCCAACTGCAGCATTAAGATGGTCCACTAATAGTTCAAAGGGAAGTTTGTGTGATAATAACTTATTCTCATATCCAGCCCATTGCAGAGATAGCTTAAAATGATCAGGCAGGCAGTTTTTGGATGTGAGTTGTGATTCTTTTAGAAGAGCAATAAATTTGTCTGCAGAAATAGACAACTTGAATGGGGGAGAAACTCACTGTTCAAAGGACCCACTTACAGTTGCCCAACTTGATCCCATTCCTTGTTAAGGAGAATGATTGTGATCAATGCAGGGTTTGTTTATCTCTTCCTTACCTGATAGAAAAGCTTTTCCTTATTATTTCCCAAATGCTTTTCTGCTGTTGAGGGACTGGGACTCCTCTGCCAGTTTATCCATTCATCCTCTGCCCATTTTACTGGAGCTCCTTGGTTTTTCCTGTTATCCACCAACTGTTGCTGCCCTGGCTTGGCAGAACGGAAGCACTCCCCTTGCCTTACCCACTCTTTTTCCAAGAATGCCACTGGATGTACCAGGCTCTGAGAGCTTTCTTG